AAAGATCGACAGTGAGTTCCAAAACGAAATTTTTTTGTTTTTTTTTTTGTTCAGATATGAAGCTTGCTGTTAGTCAAATCCAAAGTTACTTAGTGTCAACTATAGCGGCCACTAAGGCGCTATAACGCAAATGCTAGTCTTTCAGAGATGGTGTGCGCTCAAAAGGTGATCAGTTTTCTTAGGATACTGCTAAGGTATGCGATTGTGCTCCCTAGCGTTTTACTTTGATCTCAGCACCTTCAATCCTATTTATTATACAATATAAGTAAGAATTAAGTAATTTTGACATCCTTATTTCAAAACCTTTCCAAGAACTTTTGGACGTTCAAAGGTTTTTTGAGAAACCATCTGCTTTCAAATGGTGATAAAATCTTGTTCATCAAGAAAGAAAGTTACGACAGTTTTGAAACTTGTAGACCAACTATTATTGTTGCTTAACTTTCCATGGTTTTCTTCCTTATGCGCATTTCTTTGCGAGTTCAAAAAATGTTGATTAGATTTTGGTTTGGTTTTTGGTTTTTGAAAGCCCTTTCTCTAGTCTACAAAGATACAAACATCGCGTTCAAAAGTTGCTTTATTTTGACTTTTTGAGCTAAGAAACGCAATTTAATCTCGACAGAACAGCAATTTGAAAACCAAATTTCTTCACAAATGCGCTCTTAAACTTTTCAAAAATAATAAGTACAATTTTATTTGAAATGGCAGCCAAAAAAGTGCAAAAAAAAAGCAGTCATTCCATTCATTGGAAAAGGACCGCAATGGCACTTCGTTTGTGGACGTAATAAATGAAGTACAGCACAGGCGGTTTCTTTGAGTATGAGCCGGGATAGCCCTAAGAGCCAAACACCTCATCGGCTCTTTTCTTTTCGTCCCCAAAACTGTACACTCCCTGAACAACCTAGCGTCTTCCATGCGGCATTGACTGTGGTTCCCTTTTCCCTATTTTTGCAAGGCAATATAGGGGAACGTAATTATTGTGAATACCTTGGAACATATATCGTAAAACGTACATTCAAAAGACAGCTGCGCAATACTCTATTTTCAATATGAGTGAATAAAATCTTAAAAACCGTATTATTATTTTATTAATATTATTTTAAATTTTTCTTTGTTTTTCTTGATTTTTAGGATTAAAATCTTTACCTCCATTTTTTACTCGGTCATCAGGAAATCTTATCCACAATAAAGCTGATAATTGCGCAATTTCCAGTTTTCAAATTCAGCGAAATACTTCAGTTCTTTTAGAATTGGACTCCTCTCAAATGTGTACAATTTCCTGCTATAAATTTAGAACTAAGAAGAAATGTTAAAGGACGTACATAACTGGTAATGCCGTCACAAAAATTTCTCACGAATCGTGCATTCTGGATGTAGAATTGTAGATTGTACCATGATCGGCTACCCAACTATGACAAGTAGGTCTTCAACTATCTCTCAAATCAGGTTTAATACATTATTATTGGTAAGCTCTCAAAAAAGGCACAATTGCAGGAAGACACTACCCAAATCGTGTGATATATCTTTGGAATTTCTCCTGATGAAAGTTCCTGCTACATTCTAGAATTTAGATGAAAGTTATATGGTATCTAAACAAAAACGCATCCCTATCTTGTACAAGCAGTTTCTCCGCCCCGCCACGAAGACGCAGATAAAAAGCCTTGGGCAAAGGTTATTTAACGTCTATTCAACACATAAGCACTAAGCAATGGCTCGTACCAAGCAGACTGCTCGCAGAACCGGAGGAAAGCTCCTCACAAGCAACAAGCCATAAAGCTGCTCGCAAGCCAGCTCATGCCGCTAGAGGAGCAACGAAGCCCCACCACTACTTTCCCCGAACGGTCGCCTTCGTGCGTTCCGTCGCTACCACAAGTTGACGGAACTGCTCATCCGTAAGTTGCCCTTCCAGCGCTTCGCCAGATTGCTCGACTCAGACCGATGTGCGCTTCTAGGCTCCGGCGGTGATAACCCTCCAGGAGGCCTCTGAAGCCTTTCTCGTCGATCTCTTCAAAGACACCATCCCAAGCGCCATCCACGTCAAACGTGCATCATGGTCAGGGACATTCACTGGCCCGTCGCATCCATGGAGAGCAATTAAGCACCAAATGCGAAGTAAATATTCCTAACGGCCCTCATCGGGGCCCAATTTTTACTGAGTACTTTAAAACGACGTCACTTAGTGCACAGTTTCCATGGCAGTACGTAATAATGCCTCTGCAGCATCTACAATGTTAGGCAATAACGTTTCTTGAGTACAGTGTTTTCCTATAGATAAGAAAGCTCTTCCAGGCGCGGTCGCCGCGCATTACATATGCTCTATCACAGCGCACTATTCTGTCAGATATCTCCATGGGTAGAATGTATCAATCTCCCTGTCCAAATCGGGTGCGCTTTTACGATAGAAAATCAGCTCCCTATCTTAAATAGGGAGTTGATTTGCTTTTACAAAAGCGCGCCCGATCTTCGACAGGGAGATTATATATTCTATCCCATATCTCATAAAAATCGCCCCATTCTGGGGAAGTATGGAAGTATGCTTAGCCGTACGTACCATCTTCATCCAGGACGTGCTTTTAGTGATTGCAGCACGTGAGGTTGCGTGCCGAGTTTTAGCTCTGGTCCGATAGAGCTTTCAATCGGCTTATTAACAGAAATTAGGGTGATTGTTGTTAGGAGACCTTTTCATTTTTAGTTTCTGTGTGATCATTCCTAGTCTTTGTCACCTTGTCTCATTCTTGCTTAGTTGAGTAACACTGAAATGATCCACATAGATCAGTTGCGCTGATGAAAACTTTTTAAATGTACCGAACCTCAGTATTTTGCCAAAATTTCTCACGCCTTTATGCGCAATAGCTTGTGTTCAAAGGTACAGAATCTATGGGTTCTTTTTATAGAATGTCAAACCTTTTTACATAATTTGTGGCTTGTTTTTGGTTGAAGTTTGGGCAGAATTTTTTTTAAAGAAATGAGTTGACTTCCAGAGCAAGATCAGGCAAGGCAAGTTAGCCATTCAAAATTTATGACTTTTCACGCTACTTCTCAAATTCAGGAAGTCATTTGAAAGCCACAGGCTCATAACCAGAAACAATTGTAGTTATTAGGTTGCTCTTAAACACAAACAATCACTAAAAGCTCTGCAAGAACTTATAGTTAACTAGGAGGTTACTTGTTTTTGTGTGGAAAACCTTTGGCAAATTGAAATAATGTGTAGAGAAGTGGGTTTCAAGAATCTGCCATAAGTGAATATATATGAATTACAGTACCTGACTTCTGCAAAAAAACATGATTTCAAATAAAAATCCGTCGCAAGCGTCGCATCGTCATAACTTCTTTCACAATGGTATTTTTCACAAGGAAAAGCTGTGTTAGACTCAGGATGTTTATAACCCACGCAAGGTCCTAGATGGGTTCGCGATGTAGATCTCCTACCGTATCTACCGTATACCTTAGATGTTACTCTAGCGTGGCATACCTTAAGCTTCGTCTTGACCAACTCTAACAACGCTTTTCCTTTTGAAAACCACTGCGAAAAAGTTATGACGATGCGACAGTTGTGGCGGATTTTTATGTGAGGTCACATTTTTTTGCAAAGTCATGAGCGTTTTCGTATGTTGAACACTTTGAATTTTTAATAAATGAGGTTCAGTTCAGACATCCACCATATTTTATGAAATGCCAGCCACTGTTTTTGCTATTGAACGCAGAAGTCTCCACTTACTTGTTTTGTTGCAGTTCCTGGACTAATTTCGATCATTTTGAAATGAATTCTCGTCTAAAGCAATTCTGGTTTAGAAGCAGGTATCACGTTTTGATTCATTGAAATAATGTGGCTGAAGGATATATGGCCAAACAATTTGTAGATTTGGCTTGAAAACAGAAAACTGGAAGTTTTTCAACCCTATTTTCACATAATTATCCCACAAACAGTCTTTTACGACTTGTAGCATCACCTCACATTTTGACCGATAATGTATATCTATATCCGATAATGCACTATGGTTACAAGTCATCATCGTGACGTCTGATAGGCTTTAAGAGACTACTTTGTTTTACTCTTATTTGATTAATTAGCTTTCTTCAAAAGTACACCATATTACTTTGAAAAAAATTTGAAGCAGCA